CCTGCCAGTGTGTTGCTGGAGACCTCTGCCAGTGTGTTGCTGGAGACCCCTGCCAGTGTGTTGCTGGAGACCTCTGCCAGTGTGTTGCTGGAGACCTCTGCCAGTGTGTTGCTGGAGACCCCTGCCAGTGTGTTGCTGGAGACCCCTGCCAGTGTGTTGCTGGAGACCCCTGCCAGTGTGTTGCTGGAGACCTCTGCCAGTGTGTTGCTGGAGACCTCTGTCAGTGTGTTGCTGGAGACCTCTGCCAGTGTGTTGCTGGAGACCCCTGCCAGTGTGTTGCTGGAGACCCCTGCCAGTGTTGCTGGAGACCCCTGCCAGTGTGTTGCTGGAGACCTCTGCCAGTGTGTTGCTGGAGACCTCTGCCAGTGTGTTGCTGGAGACCCCTGCCAGTGTTGCTGGAGACCCCTGCCAGTGTGTTGCTGGAGACCCCTGCCAGTGTTGCTGGAGACCCCTGCCAGTGTGTTGCTGGAGACCTCTGCCAGTGTTGCTGGAGACCCCTGCCAGTGTGTTGCTGGAGACCCCTGCCAGTGTTGCTGGAGACCCCTGCCAGTGTGTTGCTGGAGACCCCTGCCAGTGTTGCTGGAGACCCCTGCCAGTGTGTTGCTGGAGACCTCTGCCAGTGTGTTGCTGGAGACCTCTGCCAGTGTTGCTGGAGACCCCTGCCAGTGTGTTGCTGGAGACCCCTGCCAGTGTTGCTGGAGACCCCTGCCAGTGTTGCTGGAGACCTCTGCCAGTGTGTTGCTGGAGACCCCTGCCAGTGTTGCTGGAGACCCCTGCCAGTGTTGCTGGAGACCCCTGCCAGTGTTGCTGGAGACCTCTGCCAGTGTTGCTGGAGACCCCTGCCAGTGTTGCTGGAGACCCCTGCCAGTGTTGCTGGAGACCCCTGCCAGTGTTGCTGGAGACCCCTGCCAGTGTTGCTGGAGACCTCTGCCAGTGTTGCTGGAGACCCCTGCCAGTGTGTGCTGGAGACCCCTGCCAGTGTTGCTGGAGACCCCTGCCAGTGTTGCTGGAGACCTCTGCCAGTGTTGCTGGAGACCCCTGCCAGTGTTGCTGGAGACCCCTGCCAGTGTGTTGCTGGAGACCTCTGCCAGTGTTGCTGGAGACCTCTGCCAGTGTTGCTGGAGACCCCTGCCAGTGTTGCTGGAGACCCCTGCCAGTGTTGCTGGAGACCCCTGCCAGTGTTGCTGGAGACCCCTGCCAGTGTTGCTGGAGACCCCTGCCAGTGTTGCTGGAGACCTCTGCCAGTGTTGCTGGAGACCCCTGCCAGTGTTGCTGGAGACCTCTGCCAGTGTTGCTGGAGACCCCTGCCAGTGTTGCTGGAGACCCCTGCCAGTGTTGCTGGAGACCCCTGCCAGTGTTGCTGGAGACCTCTGCCAGTGTTGCTGGAGACCCCTGCCAGTGTTGCTGGAGACCCCTGCCAGTGTTGCTGGAGACCCCTGCCAGTGTGTTGCTGGAGACCCCTGCCAGTGTTGCTGGAGACCTCTGCCAGTGTTGCTGGAGACCCCTGCCAGTGTTGCTGGAGACCCCTGCCAGTGTTGCTGGAGACCCCTGCCAGTGTTGCTGGAGACCCCTGCCAGTGTTGCTGGAGACCTCTGCCAGTGTTGCTGGAGACCTCTGCCAGTGTTATGTCATCATCATATGTGTATATATAGTTAAGAAGTACACTTGGTGATGGTTCTGTTTAGTGTTGTTTACCCCCTTTCCCTTTATATTAATTATTACTGCCAGTTCTTAATAACTTACCCATGTTGCTGGAGACCCCTGCCAGTGTTGCAAGGAAATGGAATGCCAGTTTACATGGAGTGTTCACAACCGAGACTGAGCAGCTCTCATTGTTAGAAGAGGAGATGACCCAAGATGAGAGACAAGAGGAGAGAACAGATATAGAGGGAACAGCAGAGGAGGTAATGAAACAACAAACAACACCGGGTGAAACTAAAGCAGTTGAACCAGACAATGTATCACCGTGGATACTAAAAGAGGCTGCGCAGGCCCTCTGTGTGCTTCCAGCATGGATCTAGTCACTTACGAAGAGAGAATTGCCCAGCTGCTGGAAGAAGGCAAATGTGGTACCAATTTTCAAAAAGGGAGGTAGGGAAGAGGCACTTAACTACAGACCAGTATCACTAACAAGCATCCCCTGTAAAGTACTTGAAAGAATAATCAGATTACGACTGGTGTTGTCACTAAGAATTATGTACATAAACAAACACCAACATGGGTTCAGGGAAGGGAAATCATGACTAACAAACCTTCTGGAATTCTATGAAAAAGTAACAATAATAGAGCAGGACAGGGAAGGATGGGCTGACTGCAAATTTCTGGACTGCCGAAGTCTTTGATGTACAAGAGACTGCTATTCAATCTTGAGAGGCAAGCGGAGAAACCCTAGGAAGGGGTAAGGACTTACCTAAGAGGCAGGACCCAGAGAGTAACAGAAGGAGGCGAGAAGTCGGACTGGTGAACGAGTGGAGTACCTCAAGGATTAGTGCTGAGACCAGTTCTATTTTTAATATACATAAATGTCATGTCTACAGAAGATGAGTCTTATATATATGGATGTTCACGGATGACGCCTAATTGATGAGTAGTGTCAGATGAGGATTGTAGGATCCTCCAAGAAGACCTGAACAATTTGCAGAGATGGTCAGAGAAATGGTTACTGGAGTTCAACACGAGCAAGTATAAGGTTATAGAAATGTAATTAGATGATAGGACCAAAGGGTCAGTACACAATGAAGAGAAACTACCTACCTGTGACGATTCGAGAAAGAGACCTGGGCGTGGACGTAACACCTAATCTAACTCCTGAGGAACATATAAATAGGATAACGACAGCAGCGTACTCTACATTGGCAAAAGTTAGAACATCATTCAGAAACTAAAGTAAGGAGGCTTTTTGGGCATTTTGCACTGTTTCTCTACATACGTGAGACCAGTCTTAGAGTATGCTGCCCCATCATGGAGTTCCCACCTGAAGAAACTCATAAGGAAACCGGAAAAGGTTTAGAAGTTTGAGACGAGAGTCGTCCCAGAGTTACGAGGGATGGGATATGAAGAGCGCCTGAAGGAACTGAACCTACGACACTAGAAAAAATAGGAGGGAGCAGGAAGATATAATAGACGTAACAAATACTTAGGGGAATTGTCAGAATGGAAATAGACGACACTTTCACATGGAATACCAACAGAACAAAGGGGCATGGATGGAAGCTAGAAATAGAGATGTTAGAAATTTTTTATTTAGCGTGAGAATAGTCGGGAAATTGATAACACTTAAGGAACAGGCTGTGAAAGCAAACTCTGATCATAATTTTAAAACTAGATGTGATAAGGAAATGAGACAGGAGTCATTGCTATAAACAACCGATGGCTACAAAGGCGGGATCCAAGAGTCAATGTTCGATCCTCTAGGCACAAATAGGTAAGTACACACACACACACACGCTTGATTGACGGTTGAGAGGCGGGACCAAAGAGGTAGAGCTCAACACCCCCAAGCACAATTACGTGAGTACACACACACACACACACACAGAATTTTTTTATTCTGTGTGGATTCTGTGGCAAGAAAGAGAGGGGTGGGCAGTTCAATCAGGCAAGAAAGAGAAGGGTGGGCAGAATTCATATTTTTGGATTGCCAGAAAGCCTTTGATACAGTACCACACAAGAGGCTAGTGAAAAAGCTGGAAATGCAGGCTGGAGTGAAAGGGAAGGTACTCCATTGGATAAGGGAATACCTAAGCACCAGAAGACAACGAGTCACTGTGAGGGGTGAGGTCTCAGATTGGCGAAACGTCACAAGTGGAGTCCCGCAGGGGTCAGTCCTTGGACCTATACTGTATCTGATATATGTAAATGATCTCCCAGAGGGTATAAACTCGCTCTTAATGTTTGCTGATGATGCAAAAATTATGAGGAGGATTGAAACAGAGGATGATAGTAGGAGGCTACAAGATGACCTAGACAGACTGAATGAATGGTCCAACAAATGGCTACTAAAGTTCAACCCTAGTAAATGAAAAGTAATGAAACTTGGCAGTGGAAACAGGAGGCCAGACACAGGATACAGAATAGGAGATGAAGTACTTAATGAAACGGACAGAGAGAAAGATCTTGGAGTTGATATCACACCAAACCTGTCTCCTGAAGCCCACATAAAAAGAATAACGTCTGCGGCATATGCGAGACTGGCTAACATCAAAACAGCCTTCAGGAACCTGTGTAAGGAATCATTCAGAACCTTGTATACCACATATGTAAGACCAATACTGAAGTATGCGGCCCCAGCATGGAGCCCGTACCTTGTCAAGCACAAGACGAAGCTGGAAAATGTTCAGAGGTATGCCACTAGACTAGTCCCAGAACTAAGAGGTATGAGTTACGAGGAAAGGCTGCGGGAAATGCACCTTACGACACTGGAAGACAGAAGAGTGAGAGGAGACATGATCACTACTTACAAAATCCTCAGGGGAATTGACAGGGTAGACAAGGATAAACTATTCAACGCTTGTGGTACGAGAACAAGGGGACACAGGTGGAAACTGAGTACCCAAATGAGCCACAGGGACGTTAGAAAGAACTTTTTCAGTGTCAGAGTAGTTAACAGGTGGAATGCATTAGGCAGTGATGTGGTGGAGGTTGACTCCATACACAGTTTTACATGTAGATATGATAGAGCCCAATAGGTTCAGGAATCTGTATACCAGTTGATTGACAGTTGAGAGGCGGGATCAAAGAGCCAAAGTTCAACCCCCGCAAGCACAAATAGGTGAGTACACACACACACACACACACACTGTGTGCATGAGGTCATACAATGAGTGCACATTGTATACAAATCTTGTGTATAAGATAGATTTTTGGTCACTTAATGAAAACATTGATGTCAAAAAGTGTTATATGAGAGTTAAGGGGGGGGGTAAGGATGTACCTGGGAGGGTCAGGGGGGGGGGGGTGAGGGTGTACCAGGGAGGTTCATGGGGGGGGTGAGGGTGTACCTGGGAGGTGCTGGGGCGTAGGAGACGGTACCGTACCCTCCTGGGCGCCTGTGGGGGGCACCAGCCAACATCGCCAGCAGCTCCACAACATCAACATCCTCCAGCAGCTTCTCCATGTCAGCACCTGTCGCCAGGTCGCGGCGGTACCTCCTCAGGTCGCGCTTGTGTCGCTGGCCGGCCCTCAGCACCTTGAGGGGCACCTGGGGCCTGCAGGAGAGCAGGCCGGGAGGTGAAGGTGACATGCTCGCTCAAGACACCAGTGCTGGCCTCATCATTCACACAATATACTGACTATTGAATATGTTTGTGCCTTATGAAGCTCGATATTAACAATATAACGACACTTGTGGGTGTTACGAGAAGCAAGGGTACCTACACCTTGCGGGGGTCAGGGTGTGTGGCGGCGGCGGCGGCGTACACAGAGCGGCGGCGACGGCGGCGGCGGCCGGGGTAGGCGGCGGCTCCGTACACAACAGGCGTCCGCCAGCCTGCCATAACACACAAGCACACGACATGATACCGGGAACATTGAGATGGCCTCTTGGTCCATCACACTCAGAGCCTAATAATACTCAACCAATTATCCTCATATATATACTTATTTAGGGTCAGCCGCCTAGCTCTCGAGAATAAATTATATATATACATTCATCAAATTAAATCCCAGTTTAACCTTGCTAAATTTATTAAGGAATATAGATTGGCAATTGATTTAGCTCAATTCAGCAAATTATATGGCTGTTTATTAGAAAGAGTTTTCTGCAGCTATGATCAGCTGATCCAGTAAACAAAGTAATGAGCTAGAATTCACCTACGAATATAGGTATTTCATTTAAATTAACGTCATTTAGGTCTAATGCTATACATAGCGAGAAATAATCTGTTGTTTCCTAAAGTACGTTATTGTGACGTAAACTAACGTTGACAAAGTCAACTTTTAATAGGAAATTAGAATAAAATATTGTGAATTATTTACCAAGTTTCCACCATCCGGCGCTAGGTGGCGCGCACAACACTCCGTAGAGAGACTTGGCAGAGAGAAGCCATATTGGATTGGTGTCCTGAAGCTGGTCTTTATTATTGTCTTATTATCGAAACACCTGGGCATTATCAGACCTCAGACTGATTTGACAGCTTCATCTTTTTATGGACACCGCGTTCGGCAAGGCTAAGTTCCCTTAAAATATATTGTTGTGGCCATGACATATTTTATGTAGGGAGCCTGGTCGTTACGCAGGTAGGAACACCAAAATAACACCCGTGAGTATATTTCCCACGTTCATTCAGCTCTAAGTTCATGAGTCTGTATGTAGTTATACACTCTGAGTTAGAAATTACATAATATTAATAATGCAGCATGGAGCTATCTAGAAAGGAATCGTACTCTGTCTTGAGGAATCACGTGTCGCCCTGAGATAACAGCCATTGACAGGAGTAGACGGGTTACTGAGCTGTCGGACATATTCTCCGTTCACCTAAGCTTCCAAATATTTAAATTTAGTAGTTAGTGTACTAAACCATGCTTCAATTTATTTCTGATTTATTTATGAGAATATATCATATGTTATATGTAGATTAACATTATAGAATTTACCCCTCCAAAAAAAAAGCTGTGTAGGGGAGTCACTCCACTGTATATAGAAGTTTTTACAGTCCACTTCTCTAAGTTCATTTTGAATTAATTATTAAAATAAATATTATATGACATTAAATAGTGGAAAAAATCCCCCACAGAGTTAGTAAGTCGACCTTGGGGGGGGGGGGATGAATCTCGGGATAAGCCTAACATGCACTGTATGTATATACTGGCTGCCTGACCCCGATACAATGAATTATTATTAGTAAATTATTTATATCTAGCTTTTAATACATTCCATATATCAACAAATCTGCTTGCAAGCCAATATTTACCCCTGACTTTCTTGCGCCTAAACTAATCCAATTGGTGCTCATTGTTCCATGTTCTACTTTCTGCTGATATATTTAACACCCTAATTAATGGCTAAGGGATACTCTTTCATCCCTTAGCTGACTACAGTCATGTCACCCCTTACTCTATGCCTCTCTAAAAAAAGTACAGTCAGCCCTTGTATACTGAGACCCACCTAGCTGGTACAGGTGAAGGCTGTGTGGGGCCGGGACGTGCCAGGTATTAGGCTCGGCCACTGGCGCTACAAGGCTGCCTTCCTCATCCTCGTCGACGTCTTCCTGGGAGTCCTCCTGCTGCCGGGGGTCGTCATCCTCACTCTGCAGCTGCTGCTCCTGCTGCTGCTGGTGCACCTGTTCTCTCCCTCCTCCTCCCTTACCAATTGTGTTCTCATCTGCGAGAGAAATACAGGCACTTGTATTCTAGAGCAGCTTCAGGCTCCGTAGAGGGGCTCTCTGCAGCCTGAAGCACCCCCCCCCCCAGAAGGTTCAAGTAGGATCTCTCAGGTAAAATATTTGTAACATCTGTTATCACCCATCTCAGACTGTAGGAGTGTATTTGCATATAATGTGAGTGATTTGCATATTGTATGCAGCATACATTTGGTATGGCTGCTATATTATGTTTTATGATGTATTAGAATGTATAACAGTATTGAATGTTGTATTATACTCTATAGTGTATGAAAGAGAAGGGTTTGCATGTAGTGGACAGGGGCCAGATTCACGAAGCAGTTACGTATGTACTTATGAACGTTTTTCTTCTCAGCAGCTACGTTAGTATTCAGGTAGGCATTTAAGAAGGAAAATCTTCGTAAGTATGATCCGTCGTGCTAAGGTTGCTGTCAACCACTCGTACCTTTACGCAAACTACATATAATTCAATTTTTCTCTACTACACAACACGGAGGATCAATTTTATAATAAACAAAATATTTTAAAAGGAGAGTTTCGTAAAGAGACGTTCTTCGTGTTAACTATATATGCATTCTTCTTATATACAAGTTTTTGTTTGAAACTTGTAGTAACTATGTCTTTTATGATAGAATTAGTTTTATAATAGCAAGATATTATACAAGTAATTATTAAGTAAATAAACACTGGTGAACTTGAAATATGAGAGAAGGTGATGATCCTTCTCAATATGAGAGAAAGTGAAATATGAAAGAAGGTGATGGTAGGAGCATTTACTATCACCAAATGCCCCTGTTCACCTAGTAATAAGTATAGCTAGGGGGGGCTGTACATACCCTAAATATGAGAGATGAAATCTCATATTTTTAGTAACTAAATCTCTCATATTTAGTAACTACTAAATATGAGAGAAGGTAATGGTGGGAGCATTTACTATCACCAAATGTCCCTGTTCACCTAGTAATAAGGATAGCTAGGGGGTGTAACTCAGCTATACATACCCCTTTTTTAATTTATTTTGTTTGGTTTTATTTTGAAATTAAATCTGGGTGACACATTAAAGAAAAATATGCTGCACAAATGATCTTAGGTAAGGATAAGGGTATAAACTTCAAAAACTTTTCTCATTGAATACTTAAAGCTATAATTATGACTATATTTATTTACTTATTTATTTAGATACAAGAAGGTACATTGGGTTTGTGAAGATACATAGCATGATATTTACATTCTTGTAAATGCAACGACAGTACGCACAGCGTTTCGGGCAGGTCCTTAATCTAACAGATAATTTTAAGCAGATAAATTCTAGCAGAATTTATAAAATTATAATAGGTACATTACAAGAAAAAATGAGATGAGAGAGATTAGTTGGTATATTAAAGTAGATAATTGGACTATTACGGCCTGTTAAAAAAAGAGAGGGGAAGTAGAGGTCCAAGACCTCTTCCTGTTACGCTATTTGGCTGTGTAACAATAAGTAATTATCAAAAGAAGGGAAGGCTATGTAGCCTTCCTGGCACTGGAAGGCTATGTAGCAGTAAGGTGAGGCAGCTACTTATTTGAGGAATGCTTATTTTATTGTATTTACCTTATATGCTGAGGCAGCTTATTTTATTTTATTTGAGGAATACTCAGCTGATTCCTCTACATTTAGCATGGAACAAATTTGTGTCCAAGACCTCTTCCTGTTACACAATTTGGCTGTGTGTAACAATAATTATCAAAAGAAAGCACCAAACCGGGAAGGCTGTGTAGCACCATTGTGTGTAACAATAAACCAAATTTTTTAACAGCTAATGCACCTGTGAGTAAAACAAATCCTGTCAGCTGTAAAAATATTTATCCAGTTATTTAAATAAAAAAATATAAGGAAAGAAATATTTATGGAATGTTTATCCTATTTTTTCTAATGTATATCCACAGAAGTGAAAAATTGAAACATACTGCACAACTTAATGATTCACAAGAAATATTAATAACATTGTTGTCTTCCTTTTATCTTCTAGTGTGTAGTTTGGTCAACATTACTAACATTACATATCAATATGAGATCTTAATGATCCATGGTTAACATTTATGATTTAATAAGGATAATACTGGTAATAATAATAATACTACAAGCCATAATTTAAAACTTTTATTGCTGATTTCTTTTTATTAACAGGCTTAGGTATACACAGCAATGTGCTGCTACCCTATTCTATATGAAAAATTACAGTGTAGATCATAAAACCAGCTACAAGATCATCCAACATCCCCACCTCACAGGACGGCCAGTCATACATGGAATCAGGAGAGAATAAGAAATGTAAGGCTGATCTATTAGACTCCTCTGGCAAAATCTGGGTGCAGCACAAGAATATCTTCCAATATTCCTGAGTGTATGAAGTAATTACAGGGCTCAAAGTACCTCATACCATTTGGTATGAAGTCACTGATAACAAGGCAATCACAGATATAGTGTTGGAGAGTATGTCCTCTCAAGTAGGACTGAAAACAGATGTGTTTTCACCAAGAGGGCTATAAACCCATGGAACAGCCTACCCGCTGAAGCCGTAAATGCCAAAATCCAGCTAGAAAATATCATTAGGACAATTGGCGGGACTTAACAAGCCCCAGCTATTTGTCCTCGTCGAGGCCACTAGATAGTTAGTGGACCTTGGGTAAATTTAGGTAAATATATACATAACAAAATAAATACCATAGCTTTTCAAATCTTGGGAGCGACAGGGAAGGCTATGCGCTGTCTCTTACAATTACGTTAGTAAACAAAAAATATAACTTATTTGTTTACTACAATGTAGGTGCTGACTGTACAAGTTGAAAAAACATAGTTTTACGTCGAAATATACTAGTTTTATAAGAAAATTCGACGTAAATAAGTGGCAAGTGCATCACGGATAAGCTCCGATTTGCCAGCGTTGTGATTGGCTACAGCTGTAAGTTGAAAAAGTTACCTTCTCTCTGACTGGCCAAACTAAGAGCCCTTGTGACATCTAGCGAGACCTAAGTGAACTACTGTACTGTACTTAAAAATCTTCCAACGTACACTTCTCTAAATCGCTCTTTGGGGCATTCACTCGCTCACCGGGTGCGGGACAACCCCACTATCCCAGGTGGGCTTGGGCGTTCCGCAGGAGAGAGTGGTAAATTCTGAAAAGTGTATAATCTTTTCAACTTTGTCAGCTCAATTCTCGTCCTAAGATATTCAATTTGGTATCAATATGTTCGCAAAAGAATTCTCTACAGGACTAAATGCATATAAACTCCAAACGTCCGGCTTACCATCCGCAACTAACAGAGAAAGTTACCCGGGAGTGCACAACAGTGATAAAATGTTTACACTCTTTTCAGTTTTGTCAACTCAATTCTCGTCCTAGGACTTTCATTTTGGTATCAATGTGTTCGCAATAGAATTCCCAACAGGCCTATATGCATATAATATAAAAAACAGCAGCGATCTCCACCCGCCGACATGATGAAAACAGGCCAGGGTTACAAGAAAGAGAGCGCTGCGCCACCCCGTGGCAATTCTCACTATGAAAAGTGGATACTCTTTTCAACTTTGTCATCTCAAATCTAGTCCTAGGTTTTTCAATTTTATATCAATGTGTTCGCAATAGAATTCTCTATAGGACTAAATGCATATAAAGCCCAAAAGCCCGGCGAGAAAGTGAGAGCGTGTTACCCGGGAGCGAGTCAGAGCAATAAAATGTGTACACTCTTCACTTTGGACATCTCAATTCTCGTCTTAAGTTTTTCATTTTGGTATCATTGTGTTCGCAATAGAATTCCCTACAGGAGTATGCAAATATAAAGTCCACAAGCCCGGCGTACCATCCACAACAAGCAGGGAAAGTGACAGAGCGTTACCCCCGTGAGCGCTAATAAAGAGCAATAAAATGGATATTCTGCTTTCAACTTTGTTACCTCAATTCTGGTCCTAGGACTTTCATTTTGGTATCAATGTATTCGCAATGAGATTCACTAAAAGAGTATAAGCATATAATGTCCAAACCGCAGCAACAAATTCCCGAAAACGCCGCTACTGTTGCCACACGGAGGACTCAACGCTGAGTCCTCGTCGGACTTGCCCCTGTCGCCGGGCGAAAGTGTTTAACCGGTACTTAGGAACCTTCGTAGCACACATACTTACGAAGAAATACATGGAGCTTCGTGAATCTAGGTCCAGGTTTGATTCAGGAAGCGTAGTGTGTCTGTGTGAGGAGGGACGAGTCCGCCAGTGTGGTGTTGCCAACTTGTTGTATCCTTATTATAAAATAATTGTTTATTTTAGTCATTTAAGAATGTTATGTTTTCAGTTATAATACCAGAATGTATATATTATTATGTTACAATGTTTGTGTCTGTTTGAGAGTGATTACTTTCGTATGAAGTATGTAATTGAAATGAAACTAATAAACTAACTAATTGAAAACTAATCTACAAGCAGCTTTACTCTTATCTAGCCAAACACAATATTCTTAGCTCTTGTCAATATGGCTTCAGACCCCCAAAAAAAAGCACTAACGATACACTTATTAGTATGATTAACTTGATACATGCAGCTCTTGATAAAAATAAATTCCCTGTTGGGTTATTTGTGGACCTGCGTAAGGCTTTTGACACTGTCAACCACCAAAACCTTCTTCTTAAATTACATCATTATGGAGTCAGAGGTCACTCCCTGCAATACCTCAAATCTTACCTTACTGACAGGCTCCAGTACGTTTCTGTGAATAATTCAATTTCTCCCACCCTACCCATCAACATTGGTGTTCCCCAGGACAGCATACTTGGCCCGCTCCTCTTTCTCATCTACATTAATGACCTTCCAAATGCCTCCCAACACCTCAAACCAATTCTATTTGCTGACGACACAACCTTCATTTACTCCAGTCCTGACCCCCTTGCTCTAAATGTCACAGTGAATACTGAGTTAAATAAAGTCCATCTTTGGCTAACTGCCAACAAACTC